TCCTACCTGTGCCCTCCGGCTGGTTTTTGCTGTGTGTTTGGCTGGGTATTGAGCCCCTGCCCCTGGTGACTTGTGTTGCTGGTTATCATTGACAGGAAGCTGGGGGATGGCCTCTTCCTGCAGTGCTGTAAGGAAATGGCTGAGCTCTATCCCAAGATCAAATACGAGTCCGTGATTATCGACAACTGCTGCATGCAGGTAACTCGGGCTGACTCGGTGCGCGGGCAGGGTCGGGGGCGTGGATTTGGGGGCAAGGGAGCAGGGGAACCGTGGGGCCTGTCACGGTCACAGAGCACCTGGGGTCAGGGTCATGGGGTGGCATTGAGGTCAAGGTCACAGGGTGGCATGGGGGTCAGGGTCCCGGGGGCGGTGGGGTTGGGGGATGGCTCTGGGGTAATTGGGGGCTCCTGGCTCGGGTGGCTCTGGGTCCTGTGGGTATCAGGGCTGTGGGTCACCGGGGACCTGGGTTTGGGTGGGTTTCTGGGAACCTGGGACTGTTCGGAGGCTGCGGCCTGTGATTGTGGAGGGTTCGGGGCTTGTTGGAGGAGGAGAGCAGACTGTCTTGTACTTTGCAATCCCCTGCGCATCCCATCACCCAGTCACATTTCACACCCTCGTTTATCTCTGAGCCTGACTTTGATTGATCAGCACTGACTGTCTGCTCTCTGACCCAACAGCTCGTGTCCAATCCATATCAGTACGACGTTCTGGTAATGCCGAATCTCTACGGAAACATCATCGACAACTTGGCAGCTGGTCTGGTTGGAGGAGCTGGGGTGGTCCCAGGAGAGAGCTTCAGTGCTGAGTATGCAGTTTTCGAAACGGTAAAGGAATAGTCTGTATTTTTTTATTCAGTTGGGGCATCAGCTCCAGGGTGGTGGGACCCTGGGGGAACAACGAGTGAAGCCAAGGGCCATTTGAGCATCATGGGTCCCTCACTGACCTTTCGCTCTGTGGGACCAGGGGGTCGGATGATATCTGGCTCCTTCTAACTTTGTTGTTTTATTTCAGGGAGCCCGACACCCGTTCTCACAAGCGATGGGCAGGAACATTGCTAACCCCACTGCCATGTTACTGAGCTCTGCCAATATGCTGAGGCACCTGAAGTAAGTTGCGCTGCTCCTGTATCTTGCTGCTCCACCCTTTGTCACCTATTCACTTCGCAGATTGAAGGTCGGGGACGTCATTACCTGACCCTCTCCCTCAGTGTAAACTACACTGCGAGCTGAGCTGACCCTTCACAAGGTCACAAATGAGGATGTTTGCTGATTATCTGCAATCACTTTCCCACCGCTGCTCAGTAGCAGCAGCATGGTGCACTGCAGAAATTTACCAAAGATCCTCAGACAGCACCTACTCAACCGGCAACACCTACCACCTACAGCAAGAAATGGTGCTGGAAACTGCCAAAGGATAGCCACCCCCTATCACCCAAATCCTGTTTCTTCATCAGGGAAGGGAGCTGTGATCTTAATATGTGGAAACTAGAAGTGAACAGCAGTGACAGCCTGACCTTATGGGCAAGGGTGGTTGGACCAAAGGCACTGCGGGATTGCTTCAGGCTGCCCCCTGACCTGATCCCCGCACCCTCCCCCAAAATCCCGCAACACACACGCGCACACACATACCCTCTCGCGCTCACCCTCTCTTTCTCTCGCTCACACACACACACACTGCACTCTCTCTCCGTTACTGTGTGGCTCAGTTACAGTGTGTTTATCCTGGTGTGCTCACTGTCATTCTTTTGCAAAATGTTTGAAAATTGCGATCAATGCAAGGCTGAACTCTCTAATTCTGCTACAGCCTAGAATTTCACTCCAACTTGATCTCTGAAGCTGTGAGGAAAGTCATCAAACTAGGCAAGGTACGCGGGGAGACTGGCTGCAGGGTTGTTGGCTGGGGGAGGCGGAAGGTCGGTTTGAGTGTGTATAGGGTGGTGGGGGGATGGGGATAATTGTGAGTTTTGCAATTGTGATTAGGCTGGGGTTTGGGAAAGCAGCTGGACAGGGAAGTACTGTGTGGGGTTTGAGTTTGGCGTTGTTGTGGATTCTGAGGGGGGAGATTGTCGGTGTTTATGTTCAGGAAAATGTTGGGGTTTTTGGGAGGCAGGTTGTGCACCATTCTTTATCCCCTGACTTTTGGATGATTTAGGATGATTTATCCACATTTGTTGATTTTATTTCAGTTTGTTTTGTGCTTTACTTTCATTTTCTCCTTTTGATTTCTCCCTCCCTCCCTCCCTTCTCCTGTCTCTCTGCCCCCATTGGGATTAGGTTCGGACCCAAGATATGGGCGGTTATTCCACCACCAGCGATTTCTTGAAGAGTGTCATCAATAACCTGCATCCTTCTCGTCTCTGCTAGTCTGCATGAAGCTCTGGGCCTCTGTGCTGGAGGTTTGGACATAATGCTGTCATTGGACCCCCTGGGGGATCTCCTCTCTTCATTCCCCTCTAAAGGATGGAGGTTACGGGGTTTATTCCCATGCTCCTGGCTGGATGGAATTGGTAGAGCATCAGCGATGATTCCATCTCAGTGTAGAGCAGATGCAGTGACCTGCTGTAGAATTTTGCGTTTAATTTTCGCTTTTGCTCTCCATTATTCCTGATTTACAGATTACCTCCTTTGCCTTTGTTTTGTTGGGATTGATTTTTTCTTTAAAGGTATTTAGTTTGTCTCATCCCAGAATGGAGAAACAATGTGTGAACTAACGGGAATCATGATGGAAGCAAATGTCACGAACAGATCAGGTCACTCACTTCCAGAGAGTCTGATGCTTTTAGCTTCTGAATGATTGAATCTGGATTAACGAAGAGCGTCACTCAGCAACAGGCCATTTGCAGGGTCATGACCCAGCTCCCTCTCCCCACACAGCTTCTGGTACACCTGTAAAATGCTGCTTTTGAGGGAATCGTTTCAGTACAAAATAAAACATTCCAGCACTTTGTCAACTTCATATCCGCATTCCTGTGTTTCCCGTGCATTCATTTCCTGCGACTGGTTCAAAGCATTGAGGAATCAGCCTCTTCCCCAATCCCAGGATGTTCCAAAGCGCTTTCCAAGCAATGAAACAGTGGTGCAATCTATCAGCCAATGATTGACTACAGGAGGGAAGGGCTGAGTCTCGGATCTTTGCGTCTGTTACTGAAAGAAGGGAGGGGTGGCTTTGATTGTTACTGACCTTTATGGCAATGTACCAGTGAAGAGGGTGAGCAGAGAGCTGAGTGGCACTTTAAGTGTGACCAGTGGGTGATTTGAAACTTGAGGGAAGAGCAGTATTACTCAAGCTGTAACAAGTTTAAGAGAAATCCTAAACAAGTTCACAAGCAATTAATTCTGACGAAAGGTCACCCGACTCAAAACGTTGGCTGTGTTTTCACTCCACAGATGCTGCCAGACCTGCTGAGCTTTTCCAGCAACTTCTGTTTTTGTTTCATAAGCAGTTAGTGTTGTGTGGTCTGCCTGTGAATGTAGAGCTAGAAATTGAGACATTGCAGTCAAAAGAGGTAAAAGAGACATAGATTAGTTTGGCAAAGGGATGGGAACTTCATCCTGTTTATGATGTTTTCAGTGGAGATAGGTCCTCAGAGAGCTGGGTGGGTGACAGTGTTAGTAAAGGATTCTTTCTGTGAGAATGCAAGGAAGGGGTTCTGTTCAGATAGGATTGAGATTGGAATCACTCAATTAATTCCAGAGAGGAGAGGTTTGTCTTACAAAGAGTGATTGAGCAGTTTAACCTGTACTCTCTGGAGTTCAGAAGAATGAGAGGAGGTCCAACTGAGGTATAAAAGGTGCTAAACGGGATTGACAAAGTAAGATGTGGAGAGCATCAGAAGAGCAGGAAAGCTGACATTTTGGGTCTGGACCTGAAACATCAGCTTTCCTGCTCTTCTGATGCTGCCTGGCCTGCTGTGTTCCTCCAGCTCCACAGCTTGTTATCTCAGACTCCAGCATCGCCAGTTCCTACTATCTCTGCAGACGTAGAGAGGATGTTTCCTCGTGGGGCAGTCTAGGAATGAGAGATCATAGTTTCAGGGTAAAGCAGATTTATAACAGGGGTAAGGAGAAATTAATTCTCAAAGGGTCATGAATCTCTGGAATTCACACCGTCGGAGTGCCAGGACATTGAGTAAATTTAAGGAGGAGTTAGATTTTTAATTAGTATTGAGTTGAAGGATAATGGGGAGTGAGCAGGACAGTGCAGTTGAAGCCAAGGTGATATCAGCCAAGATCATATTGAATGGTGGAACCGACCCAAGGGGCTGAATGGCCTACTTCTCCTAGTTCTTATGTTCTAAGATGAAGAGTTAAGCAGTTGAGGAAATGGTACAATTCTTGGTGTGAATTACAGGCCATTCCTTGGAGTTGAAATTAAGGGGTGGACCTGCTGTCAGAGAAATAGCTGAGAGCAACAGGGCCCTGATTAAATCTTCAGTGTTTGTTCTTTTTGGCTGGGGGTAATGGTGCAGACTGTAAGATAACGATGGGGAAAGGAGTAAGGCAGAGGCTGTGGGCGATATCGGTATTCACAACAGAAGAGAGGGCAGACATTGAGGATGGTCAGATTTTCAGAAGCTAGGGAGGATGTGTAAAAGAAGGTTTTCAAAGGTGCTCATCTCTGGATTACCCTCAGTGTCGTGCAAAAGCAGGAGTAGAAATAGGAAGGTAGCAAAGGTTGAAGCATGGTGCAGGGACAGGGGGCAAAGTCTTCAGGTTCTTGGGGCATTGCGACAGGCTCTGAGCAGAATAAACTGAGTGAAAATGAATGGCTTGTACCTGAACAGGACTGTGAAAATCTCCTGTGGGAGCAGGGTTTCAGGAGAGGTTAAACTAAACTGGTGGGTGGTGGAGGAGAATATTGAAGTCAATAAGGGGAATAAGATGCTTAAAGTTAGAATACTGGAGAAGGGAGTGCTTCTCTTTTTGGAAGGTTTGTCAAAGGAGACTGTGGGTAGAGCTTAGGAACAAAAAAGGGGCAGTTACACTGTTAGGAGGGTATTACAGACCCTCAAACAGTCAAAGGGCAATAGAGGAGCAGATATGTAGACAATTCACTGAGGTGTGATAGTGGCCACAATGCCGTAAGTTTTAAGTTTGTGGTGGAAAAGGAGAAAGTCTGCAAAGAAGGGTTTTGGGTTGAGGTAAGGCAGATTTTATTAAAACAAGGCAGGATCTGGGCACAATAGACTGGGAACAGCTGCTTGAGGCCAAATCTGCAGCTGAACAATGGGAGGTTTTCAATAAGGTACTGGGGTGGGGGGGTGGGGGTACAGACTAATCTGCTCCTTCAGGGTGAAATGTAGGAGCAACAAGCCTGGAGAGCCCTGGATGTCTAGGAATATTCTAGACTGGATAGAAAGAAAGAGAGAAATGTGTGACAGGTACAGTGGAAGCCCATAGGAAATGTGTAGGGGGACACTCATGCAATTAGGAGAGCAAAGAGAGGGGTGTGGAAAAATGCTGGTGGTCAAGGTTATGGAGAATCCCAAGATGGTTCTACAAGTATATCAAGGGGAAGAGAATACCCAGGGAAAGAGTCAGACCCATCAGGGACCAAGGGGGAAAAGTGTCTGTGAATCCAGAGAACATTGGTGGGATATTAAATGGGTAGTACTACACATCGTCTTTACTCTGGGGAAAGAGGATGCAAGCACGAAATTCAAAAGATGGCCTGTGAAGTTCTTGAGCTGATTGAAGTAATGAGGTATTGAAGGTTTTAAACATGGACAGATCCTGGGGGTCTGAGTGAGTTGTATCCCAAAATGCTGAGGCAGGCCCTGACCCAAATTTTTAAATCATCTCTGGCCATAGGGGGCTTACCAGAGGACTGGAGGACAGCTAATGTGGTTCACCAGAAGATTCAACATATAGACCAGTGAGTCTAACATCAGTAGGTGGGAATCTGTTGGAGAAAATAGTGATGGAGAAAATTAATCTCTGTTCAGAGAGGCAAAGTTTGATTAGGAATAGTTAGCAGAGAGCAGCATGGCTAATGATTACATTTTACAAGGAAGTGATCAAGTGAAAAGGTGAGAGTAACTGATAAAGAACAAAGAAAATTACAGCACAGGAACAGGCCCTTTGGCCCTCCAAGCCTGCGCCGATCCAGATCCTCTATCTAAACCTGTCGCCTACTTTCCAAGGATCTGTATCCCTCTGCACCCTGCCCATTCATGTATCTGTGTAGATACATCTTAAATGATGCTATCGTGCCCGCCTCTACCACCTCCGCTGTCAACGCGTTCCAGGCACCCACCACCCTCTGCGTAAAGAACTTTCCACGCATATCTCCCTTAAACTTATCCCCTCTCACCTTGAAATCGTGACCCCTAGTGATTGAGTCCCCCACTCTGGGAAAAAGCTTCTTGCTATCCACCTTGTCTATACCTCTCATGATTTTGTAGACCTCAATCGGGTTCCCCCCTCAACCTCCGTCTTTCTAATGTAAATAATCCTAATCTGCTCAACCTCTCTTCATAGCTAGTGCCCTCCATACCAGGCAACATTCTGGTGAACCTCCTCTGCACCCTCTCCAAAGCATCCACATCCTTTTGGTAATGTGGCGACAAGAACTGTACGCAGTATTCCAAATGTGGTCAAACCAAAGTCCTATACAACTGCAACATGACCTGCCAACTCTTGTATTCAACACCCCGTCCGATGAATGAAAGCATGCCATATGCCTTCTTGACCACTCTATCAACCTGCGTTGCCACCTTCAGGGTACAATTGACCTGAACACCCAGATCTCTCTGTGCATCAATTTTCCCCAGGGCTTATCCATTTACCATATAGTTCGCTCTTGAATTGGATCTTCCAAAATGCATCACCTTGCATTTGCCTGGATTGAACTCCATCTGCCATTTCTCCGCCTGACTCTCCAATCTGTCTGTATTCTGCATTCTCCGACAGTCCCCTTCACTATCTGCTACTCCACCAATCTTCGTGTCATCTGCAAACTTGCTAATCAGATCATCTATACCTTCCTCCAGATCATTTATGTATATCACAAACAACAGTGGGCCCAACACGGATCCCTGTGGAACACCACTGGTCACAGTTCTCCATTTTGAGAAACTCCCTTCCAATACAACTCTCTGTCTCCTGTTGCCCAGCCAGTTCTCTATCCATCTAGCTAGTACACCCTGGACCCCCTGCGACTTCACTTTCTCCATCAGCCTACCATGGGGAACCTTATCAAACGCCTTACTGAAGTCCATGTATATGACATCTACAGGCCTTCCCTCATCTATCAACTTTGTCACTTCCTCAAAGAATTCTATCAAGTTGGTAACATTGTCAATGGGTATGTAAAGAGAGTAAAAGTTTGTGCAATCCAGGAGAACTTGGCAAGTTGGATGCAAAATTGGCTTGGGGCACATGTTCTGGTCCCCACACTATAGGAAGGATGTGAATGCACTGGAGGGGGTGCAAAGGAGATTTGCCAGCATGTTCCCTGGGAAGGACCATTTCAGCAATAAAGATAGTAGATAAACTCAGGTTGTTTTCTTTGGAGCAGAGAAGGTTTTTACTTGGTAAGGGAATCAGTGGTTATGGGGAAAGGGCAGGAAGGCTGGGGTGGAGGATTCTCAGATCAGCCATGATCTCATTAGATCGCGGCGGAGAACTGGGTGGGTAATGACCAACTTCTGTTCCTATGTCTTATGGTAGAAGAATTGACAATGTTACATTCCAAAGAAGAGTGGAAATAAGTTGAGGAACTGCAGATTAGTCAGTTTAACCTTGGTGATGGCACTCTTAAGAAACGAAAACTCAGAGCAAAACTAATAATCACTTGGGTGAATGTGGGTGAGTTAGAGAATACCAACATGGACTGCTAAGGACAAATCAAGTTCAAATCACTTGGGTTTTTTGAAGAGGTAACAGGGTTGATATGGGTAACGCTATTGATGTGGTATAAATTTTAAAAAGGTGTTTGATATAACAAACAGGTGAAATGTAAT